GTTTGGAGAGGTGCTGGAGGTTTTGGCTGGTTCGCAGGAGTGGGCAGACTTTTCTTCCATGTGTACCTGTAGAGACTCAAGTGGTAGAAGCTCATCTTGGGTAGACGTGCTCACCTTGGATGCCCTGCTGTTCATGGAGGTGAACAGGGCATGGCAGCATCTGGCAGGGTCCCTTACACTTAGGGTGCTGCTGGGGGTTCCTCCTTCCCGTGTTACTGGGAGAGATTCATTAGCATACTCAGAACCTTTGTAGCTGGCCTGGATTAACAATGCACTTATCTGGTCTTGAGTCTGAGGATGGCAGAGGTGAGGAAGGGCCTCCCATACAGAATCTTACATGGACAAAGCTTTAGGACAATCTTGGATGCTGCTCCCGCTCTGGAGAGCAGTGGGGGAGAGCTCAAGCCGTGTTTCCAAGGTGTGCTGTAAAGCTTGGCTGGAGTTCAGGCAGTGGTTATCCAAGACTGAGGTCTCCAAGATGCAGGGAGTTAGGAAATCTGTAGAGCTGTGGCCACCTGCTGAGTGATCTCGGAAGTCCCTCTGGGGCTTCGGGTAACCCCTGAGTCATTTCCATTCTAGTTGGGGAAACTTTGGTCCATCCTGAGATACAGCTGCATTCCCTGGCTCATAGGGTTGACTCCCTGGAGTGAATGGCGACTGTTTCCGAATGTACCTGGGTGATCTCATAGCTCCTTCCTTCTTGAAGGAGCTCTTTGCAGCCAGTCAGCCTCATTGTCTCAGATTCTGCATCTGCGAGGGACGTTTGCTGGCCTTTTCCTAACTGGAGGTTCTCTTAGAGTGATCTTAGCCTTAAGCTGAAGTGTGGTTCCCAGTTCCTGAACTCCTGCTGCCTGCTAAGGTCCCTCCCTCTGTAGAGCTGCTATGAGGCTCCTCTCAGAGGTTGGGTCTACTGGAACAGGCTGCTCTTCAGTTTCCACACAGGAGGGAGTTTAGTCTGCAGTCACTAGGCTGAGGCTACAGCACACCTCAAGGTCTCTCAGGAAGTTGTCTCCTGTCAGCCGCTGATATTCCTTCTGCAACTCCTGCATCCTGGTGTGGTTTGAACCTCGAGTGGCTGCCCTCTCAAGCCAGCTCTGTAGCTCCCTCCCAGGTGCTGTAGCAGCAGTGGTCTTAGCATGCAGGACGCGCTGCAGCCACGGAGTGTACCTGTTTAGAGATGGACCACTGCTCGGGCAGTGGACAATTTCTGAGTCAGTGCCCCTAGAACCACTGCGTTTCTCTGCTATGGATGAGGGAGCAGCTGAAAACACGCTTTTCTGGGGTCAGGGTACGTCCGGGATAGTTTGCCTCTTACTTAGAAACCTGAGCTTCTGTTGGAGGAACTCTGTAACCCTCCTCATAAGGGCTGAGAGTGAGGCTATTGTCTATGGACAGTCAGATTGAGGTTCTTAGCTTCGGCAAGTGCAAAGCAATGAGTTGGGGTGACCCCTGCCACTGTCAGGTTCCCTCATCCTGCAGGTCTGGAATGTCCACGGGAGATGCCATGGGTGTCAGCCCATAGATGAAGGGGTTTGGCAGAACAGGATGGGCTGGGTCGTGAACCCCTCTGTCTCCTCCTCTCCCTGCCATATCTGGTTTCCAAATGGGTGGGATGGTGTGTCATGGGACACTAGGAAGGCATGAAGACCACATTGAGGAATGTGAGTCAGGGTTAGAATCCCCATTTGGCTTCTGGCTTCATGGACACGATACTGACAAGAAAATGCAGTCCTATCCTCTAAGGAAACTGACTGGCATGTCCTGCAGCCAGTCCAGGTCTCTCCTGAGCCAGACCTGAGGGTCTACTCTGCCACTACAGTGAAGATACAGTCCCACAGGGCTGTCCGTCCTTGCTGAGGTCAAGACTGGTCGGACCCCTCTGTGTGCAGTGAGGACACAGGGCTGTCCATCCTTGCTGAGGTCAAGACTGGTCAGACCCCTCTGTGTGCAGTGAGGACACAGGGCTGTCCATCCTTGCTGAGGTCAAGACTGGTCAGACCCCTCTGTGTGCAGTGAGGACACAGGGCTGTCCATCCTTGCTGAGGTCAAGACTGGTCGGACCCCTCTGTGTGCAGTGAGGACACAGGGCTGTCTATCCTTGCTGAGGTCAAGACTGGTCAGACCCCTCTGTGTGCAGTGAGGACACAGGGCTGTCCGTCTTTGCTGAGGTCAAGACTGGTCAGACCCCTCTGTGTGCAGTGAGGACACAGGGCTGTCCGTCCTTGCTGAGGTCAAGACTGGTCAGACCCCTCTGTGTGCAGTGAGGACACAGGGCTGTCCGTCCTTGCTGAGGTCAAGACTGGTCAGACCCCTCTGTGTGCAGTGAGGACACAGGGCTGTCCATCCTTGCTGAGGTCAAGACTCGTCAGACCCCTCTGTGTGCAGTGAGGACGTCACAGCTGGTCAGACCTCTGTGCAGTGAGGACACAGTGCTACTCCAGCAGCTACGCTCCCCCAGTCCTATCAGCACTAAATTATCACCAAACACCCACAAGGCTCGTTTGTGTAGTGTAAGTACACTCACACTTTACCATGCAGCTTGTGGGGGGTTGGGGTCCCACTGTCCCTAAGACGTGAGTGCACAGGAATGTGTGTGGAACCCACAGCTGAGCAGCCCCTTTGTGGGGCGAGGGCATGGCAGGAGGTGTGGCTGCACAAACAGGGTTATATTCACACATTGGACTTGGCTCTTTGGTGTCAGTTGTTATTTCAGCATCTTAGCGTCTCTCTTTGTATCTGAATTGGGGCCCATTGTTTTACACAGCCCACTGAAGGGCTCCCTGTTTCAACCAGCTGCTATGCAGGTTAATTATCATCTAGGGCTCCTTATCTCAACTGAACTTGAACTGTGGTTATGCAACAAGGTGGAGGAATCCACCATGGGGGGAGGGGTATGGGAGGGGTGGGGGGAATCCCCAGTGCCTATAAAACTGTATCACATAATACAATGTTAACAACAACAACAACAACAAAAAATCATCTAGGGCTCCTTTTTGTGTATGACCCACCCTGCCCCAGGTGGACACTGCTTTGCAGAAGGCCAGTGTACTTGACAACACATACATGTGGGAGGGGTCTTCCATACTGCCTCCTAGCAAGTGTGGATGTTAGCACTGTCACTGGACACACACCAGGAGGGTGTGCCTCACACCGGGAGGCTGGGCTTCTGGGTCCTCTCCTCGGAAAGTGCTCTAAGACAGGCACCCGTGCGGCCACAGAGTGGTGAGGTTTGTTGAGGTGAGGAGGTCACAGCCATGTGTGGGCCATACTCGCTGACAGAGTGGGTGGGGGCAGGAGGCCAATTTCTACCTTCTGTTCCCATGTCAACAGGAACACAGAGAGAGGCTTTCCTCTTGTGGGCTCTTGCAGGTCCCAGGTTGGGGGAAACGCATCCTGGGGAAGGAGTCATCTGATTGTCAGGTGTGGGGGGCTGTGGTTGAGGTTACACTACCTACCTGCCTTTCTAGGCCATGGGGTAAGCCAGGAACTCGATTAGGGCCGTAACACAGAGGCCACACCTGCCCCAACCCGGATAATCCTGTTTGCCCTTCAGCTGAATTACCCTACTCAACACTTCTCCCATCACCAGGGCCTCAGGAGGTGCCTTGGGAGCTGGAAATGGTGGGGCTTGCTTTCTCCCCTCCTTTCTGCCTCTTTCTCCCCTCCTGTCCCCACTGTATTCTTGCACTTAACTCACCTGTGAACGCCTCACAGTTTAGACCACTGTGATCACTTTGTGTTGCACTTAAGGGCTTCCCCGGGGTAGGAACAGGGCTTAAGACCGCAGCTTGCTCAGCGCACAGCCCTGACCACTGCACACAGCACACCCTGACCACTGATCACTGCCCACACACCTGATCACCCCTACAGCATGCCTCTGACCACTGCCCACTGCCCACAGCACATCCCTGACCCCTTACCTCTGCTCACATCACACCTCTAACCACTGACCACATCCCTAACCATTTCCCACAGCTCACCCCCAGCTGCATCTCCCAGCACTGCCCTGGCCACATCCTCCCTGCTGGTCCAGGAACTCTGCAGCTGTGGCCTAGAGCCCAGGACCTAGACCTAGGCAGAAACTGCTCCATGTGCTGACTTCCGCCCAAAGTCACAGGGGATATAGCTGGAGTGGGACGCATCCCGCTCTATCATCTAGGGGTAAGGGGCCTCGGGGAGTAGCGCCCAGGACTAGAAGGAACAGGACACCCACCCTGGTCATCCACCCTAGTCAGCCTTGACTGAGGAAGCCGGTGACCCTCACAGGTCATGTCCTCCATCTGGATTTTCTGCCCCATTTCCACTAGGTGCAGCTCTGTCCAACAGGGAGTTCCAGCCCCCAGCTGAATGTGATACTCTATCTTGTTTACACCCACCTCCTCGTTGTGTTCTCCTCTGTGGACCTGGGTGACCCTGGGTGACCCTGGGCTTGGGCTGGCTCTGCCCCTCCCTGGATCATCTCATCCTCCAGCCAAGTGTCCTCTCATGCACTGGGCTCTGCTAGCTCCAAGGTCAGGGAGATCTGGGGGTCCTCCCATTGCCATGCACCTGTTATCAACCTAGCCATCGCCGTTCAAGTCTGTGAACACGGGGTTGGGGGTGTGTGTGATGTCCAGAGCCAAGCAGCCGTCTGTGACCATGGGGTGGGAGTACATGTGATGTTCAGAGCCCAGCAGCTGCCTAACCACTGACCACATCCATGGGGTGGGTGGGTGTGTGTGTGATGTCCAGAGCCCAGGAACCTTCTGTGTTCGTAGGGATGGAGTGCGTGCGATGTCCAGAGCCCAGCAGCCTTCTGTGACCATGGGGTGTGGGTGTGTGTGACGTCCAGAGTCCAGCAGCAGCTGTGACCATGGGGTGTGTGTGTGTGACGTCCAGAGCTCAGCAGCTGCCTGTGACCATGGGGTGGGGGTGTGTGTGATGTCCAGAACCCAGGAACCTTCTGTGTTCATAGGGGTGGAGTGCGTGTGACGTCCAGAGCTCAACAGCCTTCTGTGACCATGGGGTGGGTGTGTGTGTGATGTCCAGAGCCCAGGAGCCGTCTGTGACTATGGGGTGGGGGTGCGTGTGACATCCAGAGCTCAGCAGCTGTGTGTGTTGGGGAAATCCTCACCATTCCCACTGTGGGAAAGATGACAGGATGTGGGCTGAGGCAGAAATAGGGCGGCAATGCCTGGGCGGCAGGGTCACTGGAGGCCCTGTCTGTGCTTGTGTTGACCATAACACCCACAGGAGCCTAGTGGACAGTGGGAAACTGGCCTGGAACTAGGAAGTTGGGGCCGCGCCCTTCTTCTAAGCCTGGTGGGGCTTTCTCTTCCTCCCCCAGGCCCCTCCTCTGGGTGGCGTCCACCTGGGAGTACACCGCTCCTATGGTCTTTGCCCAGTGAGAGGACTGTGGTTGGCGGTGCCACTCACTGTGAGGGGCCCCTTGGGGAATGTGTTAGAGTGAGCTTTGCCCTGGGGACAGGAGGGGCTGGGATCCCTGCTTAGCTAAGCCCAGGTCTGGGGCTGAGTTCCTGGGGCCCAGCTCTGGAGTAGAACAGCTGACCTTGGTCTTACCTGACTCTCCACCCCAGCAGCGCCTTCATAGCCTCCTGGGATTTCTCCTAGGGTCCTCCACCCCCCAGTTCTGGACTGACAACACCCACCCCAGGGTTTCTCAGGGCCCACCTGCTCCTAGTTCTGGACTGACAACACCCACCCCAGGGTTTCTTAGGGCCCACCTGCTCCTAGTTCTGGGCTGATCCCCGAGGACTCCCCACCTCTGCCCCAGTTCTGGGCTGACAACACCCACTTGCAGGTTGCTCCGGGTCCTGTTGCTCCTCCTGGTTGTGGCCGTGCTCCTACTTGTGGCCTTCCTGCATGTTGACAAGGAACTGTTTTGGCCGTAAGTGCTCATTGCTCCCGGGGAAAACAGCAGCAGCCAGGGCTGCCCTAAGGGAGAGGAGAAGAGCCACCTCATCTTGAAGGAGCCTTGGTACAGCTGAGGCCACCAAGTGCAGATGGCCAGGCTGGAGGTTAAAGGACATCTCATACCACCTTGTGGCTAGAAGCCTTCCCCTACTCTATACAGGTGGCTGCCCATAGCCCCATCCAAGCTGCACAGCTCCACCCCCACCCAAAGCCCAGTCTCATCCCATATCCGCAGTCCCATCTCCGGCTGGGGCTCCAGCTTTGCCCTGCATGGTCCTGTTGGTTGGCTGTCTGGGACATGTCCTGGCCTATCCCTCACTGTTCCCAGGACCAGTGCAGGTTGTTCATCCTGCCCCACCATCCTGGTCAGCCTCAGTCACTGCCTCATGGTGTCTGGGAGTGGGCCCTGCCTCTTCCTGGGCCCTGTGATGGCTAGGCTTCACCTCAGGACACCCTTGTTCCTGCACAGAGGATCAGGGCAGGGACACTGGTGATTGACAAGTAGAACAGGTGCCCAGGAGCCAGGCAGGGATCGAGGTGGAGCCTGTGGCCCTTGTGGGACCCCCCCCCCCCGCCCCAGGCTCCAGGCTGTGGGGGTAGCCTGGAGTCTACGCTAACTATGGTCTGTGTCCTGCCTAGCATGCTCAGTGGTGAGCCTGAGGATCCCCCTGTCACCAACATCATGTTCCTCAAGACCCACAAGACAGCCAGCAGCACCGTGCTCAACATCCTCTATCGTTTCGCCGAGTCACACAACCTGTCCACTGCACTGCCGGCCGGCGGCAGAGTCCACCTGGGCTATCCCTGGCTCTTCCTGGCCCGCTACGTGGAGGGTGTGGAGGAGGCTGGCCCTGGCGCCAGGCGGCGCTTCAACATCATGTGCAACCACATGCGGTTCAACCTGCCTGAGGTGCGGCTACAGGCTGGCATGAACACCAGCCAGGGAAGGTGCTAGACTGCATGGATGCCTTGTGGGCTGCCTGTGGCTTCTCAGGCTCCACCCAGCCAGCCTGGTCCTGCTGGAGTCAGGGTGCTGCCCCGCAAAGGACTCGGGCTCAGCCTGAGGCCGCCTTCCTCTGGCACCTCCTGACTTCTCTTCTGTGAGCCGGAGGGAAGGGGTGGCTGGTATACATGTGTTGGGGTCACCTGGGTGTCCAAGGGGACCTGGGCTAGCCATAGGGCAACCAAGTGAGGCGCAGTAGTCACCACTCTGCCCTGGGTGGGGCACCACAGCTGTGACCCCTTCTAGGAGACCAGGAGTCCTGGCTTCTACTGAGTTCAACTTCCCCAGGTCCTGGCCCCATAGGTGTTCAGGTGGATGCAGGCCCCTTTTCCCAGGGACCCGTGGCATTCACACTGGAGTCTTGGGGCCCAGGGGACTCCTCTGATTTGTCAGCACCTGCTCGATGCTCCCCCAGCTTGGCCACTGCTTAGCTACTGTGGCTCTGGCCCACTCCAAGCAGGCGCAGTGGGTACCTATGCAAGGGTGGGGCTATGCACAGCTGTGTGCTGGTGGGCACTGAGGGTTCCAATTGCCTCTAGGTGCAGAAGGTGATGCCTGAGGATACCTTCTACTTCTCCATCCTCCGGGACCCGGCTCACCAGCTAGAGTCGGCCTTTACCTACTACAAGGGCTATGTGCCGGCCTTCCGCAAGGTCAAGACGCTGGATGCGTTCCTGGCATCACCACAGCACTTCTACGGCGATGGGCAGATGTTGAGCAATGCGTACGCACGCAACAACATGTGGTTCGACCTGGGTTTCGACCACAACGCGCCACCTGAGGAGGGCTATGTGCGCGCGCGCCTGGCCGAGGTAGAGCAGCGCTTCCAGCTGGTGCTCATCGCAGAGCACTTTGACGAGTCAGTGGTGCTGCTGCGGCACCTGCTGCGCTGGCGCCTGGACGACGTGGTGGCCTTCAGGCTCAATTTGCGCAGCCAGCGCACTGTGACCCACCTGGCGCCCGAGAGCCGCGAGCTGGCACGGCGCTGGTGTGCCCTCGACTGGCGCCTGTACCAGCACTTCAACCGTACGCTGTGGGAGCGCCTGTATACCGAGCTGGGCCCGCAGCGCCTGCGCACTGACGTGGCCCGGCTGCGTGCACGGCGCCTGGAGCTGGCTGAGCTGTGCCTGCAGGATGGTGCCCCGCAGAACCAGGCACTCATCACGGATCGGCTGCTGCAGCCCTTCCAGTCAGGCCAGGCCGACATCCTGGGCTACAACCTGCGGCCTGGGCTGGACAACGCCACGCTGCACATGTGCCAGAGGATGGTGATGCCTGAGCTGCAATACATGGCCCATCTGTACTCACAGCAGTTTCCGGAGAAGCCCCGCAAGGTCATCCCCTTCCTGGAAGGGTAGCTGATGCAGGTGCAGGGTGGGGTGTTGAGGAGGCCATCCACGGGCCTTCTTTACCATGTCTCCAGGCCAACCAGAGCAGCGGGTGAGAAGTGACCCTGTTGCAGGGGACACAGACACAGCAAAGGAGAGGGAAGGGGAGGTGACTGAGCCAGCATGAAGGTGCTGGGGCAGGACATGCCCCACTGGTCACCTGTAGTGTCCTAAAGATTGGCCCAGGGAGGCCAGGCTGCGTGCGGCTGAATGATGGTGGGTGGGGCCATTGTGGGTGAGCAACAGTGAGCAGATAAGCTCAGGGAGCTGGACTCTCCTGTGGGTAGGTGCTGAGTGTGTTCCCAGGGTGGAAAGGTCAGAGCTGTGTGCAGGACACCTGCTTGACCCCAAGAGTACCCACTGCAGCCCATGCAGGACTGAACTCCCTGTGCCCCTGCCAAGGCGGCCTCAGTTGCTGTGAGCACTGGGCCGAGCGGAGGGGCAACTCTGCACAACCCTCTTTGTGGTTCAGAGGGCAGAGACCTCATCGGTGAGACCTGGTATAAGGAGAGTGACTTCAGAGAAGACACCGGAAAAACCAGAATCAGGACAGCAAGGATCGGCATGGACGCTGGCCAGGAGCAAGGGACTGGAGGCCCTGGAGTCTCCCAGAGCCAAGAGCCACCAGTTCTCATCTCGGGTGGCCCTTGAGGATGGAGGATGGGACATCCCTTCCCCAGGTTCTGTGCCTACAGATGGCCACAGGCACAGAAAGAAGGACAGTAGCCTGTGATGGTGATTCCATGGGGTTGGGGAGCATAGGCTGGCATTCTCTGGGAGGGAGCTGAGGACGTTCAGTGAGGTATTAAAATGCACACTGTGGTTTGTGATGGAAGATTCTGGAAGGGGTAGGCCTGTGCTGCTGTATGGGAAGGGGGGACTTACAGGGGCTGTGCTCCCCTTGGGAGGGGGTAGGCCCTGGGAAGGGTGGGTCCTGGGAGAGTCGTGTCCTGGCCTCTGTGTGACTGTGACCTCTGTGTGCAGGCTGATTGCTCACATGGAATGAGGACCCGGAAACCAGTAAGAGGCTTTCCTTTACAACCCCCAGCTTTATTCCTATTTTTGTTAGGATTGGCAGAAGTGACTCCATTTTGATTTTGACAATGTCTGCATTCCCTTCTTTTTACTAGAAGATTCTGATAACAATAGAGATAGGCCTGGACTTCCCCTCAGTGCCAGGGTGCATCTGTCCTGGTCTTCATCCAGTGGCAGCGAGTGGCCACCAGGCATCGGTGTCAGAGCCCTTTCAGCCATGTGGGAGAGAGTGCGTGGGGTCTAGTGCTAAGACCTGACAGTCACTTCAGAGCTCCAGGAGATGATGTACTGGGAGTGGATCTTCACAGGTGATGGGTACGCAGTTTCACAAGAAAAACACAAGCGAGTCAGAGTGGAACAGGTCAACTTGAGGCCCGAGTGTGTCGATGGTGAGGTCCCTCGGTGACACAGTGTTTGGTCCTGACAGCTGCTGCATGCCAGGCCTCCATGCCAGCTTGGGCAGCTTCAGGTCTGGATTCTGACTGTTTAGAGAGGGACAGGAGGCCCAGGAGGTCGTAGGAGCTAGCCCTGATGGTATCAGATGGGTTCCAGTACACGTGTCTACTGATGACTGTGACTTTCCTTTTGGCCGTCTCTCCCATCTCTTCCAAAGACAATAACCATTTGCATCCTGAGCTGTATGTCAGCATAGTTACTGGTGTGACTACATGTGCCCTGACATCAGTGTTGAGGGCCCTCTGCAGCTGGAACCTGGTGATCCTTGGGCCCAGGTCTCTCGCTGGCTGGCAGGGACTGGACTCATGCCATGTGTTCTGTGTACCTTGTCCTAGGAGAACAGTCCTGCACTGAGCTTATGCAAACCACCCTCTTCCATAAAACTAAAAATGAAAACCTTGCCAGTACTGTTCGAATTTCTGAGGAGTGGGGAAGAGGAGGCAGGTGCACCTCTCCCTGGCCCCATTCCTCTTCTTGCCTCCCCAACTTCCACCCCTGTCCTCAGCCCTCCCACCTGCTCTGGCTGGCTGCTGAGCTCGTAAGACCTGGAGTTCAGGTCTTGCTCGGACCTGGCAACAGCCACACATCTCCAGGCCACCTGGAGTTTGAAGCCGACCTATACTTCATCCACTGGCCCTTCTGGCTTGCCTGGAGCATACCCATGGCCAAAGCACTTTCATTTGCTTCTGTTTCTTCCAGCAGAGCAGGGTGGGGGAGGGGAGATATGGTTGTCCCCAGGCAGCTGTGGCTGACCCCTGTAAATTCTGCTCTGGGCCTCTGATCCCCTTGGTAATTTGAAGCCCCCAGATGGGGAGGTGGGGTAGACTCTGGTGATGCTGGCCTCAACCCTGAGCCCTGACCTGTTGACCCAACTGAGCCGGGCTATGCTGGGGCCACGGAGGCTCCTGTCTTCTGGACATTTCTGCAGGCCTCAGCAGGAGGCCTTGAGTGTGTGGCAGTTCTGTTGTCCCTCTGTGTTGGGAGGGGCAGTGCCTTTTGGCCTGTGCAGGCTGTGCTGACAGCTACTAAGGGGTCCAGACTCAGGGAAACACGCCAGGGTTGAGAGAATGGCTCACTGTGTCCATTCAGCTTGTATGGAACCCAGAAGCCCCATGCGGGGAGAGGGGGAGGTGTGAGCAGCTGTGGTGCAGGCAGGGACCTCGTGTCAGGCTGAGGTGGCTGGCACAGTCTTGCCAGGCATCCATCGGACTCCCGTCTCACCTGAGTGTCCTCTCTTCATGCCCTACGCAGCTCAGAGGCCGTGGGTGTGCGTGGTCTCTGGTCATCTCATCCTGGTCAGTGCTTGGGTTGAGTCCTGCTCCTGCCACCTGCACCCCTACGGTGTGTGACAGCCATGGACCATGTCTGTCTGTGTGTCTCTGTGTGTCCTGTGTCTCTCTGTCCCTGTGTGTCTCTCTGTGTCCTGTTTCTGTGTGTCCTGTGTCTCACTCTGTGTCCTGTGTGTCTCTCTGTTTCTGTCCCTGTGTGTCTCTCTGTTTCCCTGTGTCTCACTCTGTGTCCCTGTGTGTCTCTCTATCCCTTATTCTCTATTTCCCTGTGTCTCACTCTGTGTCCTGTGTCTCACTCTGTGTCCTGTGTGTCTCTCTGTCCCTGTGTGTCTCTCTGTCCTGTGTCTCTCTGTGTCCTGTGTCTCTCTGTGTCCTGTGTCTCTCTCTGTGTCCCTGTGTGTCTCTCTGTCCTGTGTCTCTCTGTGTCCCTGTGTGTCTCTCTGTCCTGTGTCTCTCTGTGATCTGTGTGTCTGTGTCCTGTGTCTCTCTGTGACCTGTGTGTCTCTCTGTGTCCTGTGTGTCTCTGTGTCCTGTGTGTGTCTCTGTGTCCTGTGTGTCTCCCTGTGTCTTTGTGTCCCTATGGGGGCTTCCCAGTGTCTCCTGTGGTGACACTACCCCCTCCTCAATGCAGCCCTTGGCACAGACCATGAGACCCACACCCATGCCAGCCCGCAAGGTGCTCTTTCAGCAGGAGCGGACAGGCCTGACATACCGCGTCCCTGCACTGCTTCCTGTGCCCCCTGGGCCCACCCTGCTGGCTTTCGCTGAGCAACGGCTCAGCCCAGACGACTCCCATGCCCACCGCCTGGTACTGAGGAGGGGCACGCGGGCAGGGAGCTTGGTGCAGGTGAGTCACAGTGAGAGGAAGGGATGAATGGCTATGGGCGGGGCTTGGTGAGGGTGACTGACAGCAGGGGCCTGGGAGTGGGGCTTTGTGTGGGTGAGGGGGTGGTGCTGGGTGCCAGTAAGTGACCATGGGCAATCAGACCCAAACCCAGCTGCCAGGGTGCCACTGGCCAGCTGGGAGTGCTGACCTGTCCCCCTACCATGGCTGCAGTGGGGGCCCCTGTGCGTGCTGGACACGGCCACCCTGCCTGGCCACCGCTCCATGAATCCCTGCCCTGTGCGTGATGCCAGCACCGGTACCATCTTCCTCTTCTTCATTGCTGTGCGTGGTCGCACTCCTGAAGCCCTGCAGATACGCACGGGCAAGAATGCCGCCCGCCTCTGCTGCGTGGTCAGCCGTGATGCTGGCCTTACGTGGGGAGGTGCCTGGGACCTCACCAAGCAGGCCATAGGTGACGCCGAGCAGGGTAGGTGTGTATGGGGGGCAACAGGAAGTCTCCAGCCTGCCCTGACCTACCCACTCTGTACCTTTCCCCTGTTGTGACACATTAGATGGGTGAAGAAATCCCCTGCTAATATGCCACACCCCTGCTCTGAGACCCCACCCCATACCTCACCCCCCATATACACATCTGAGACCCCACATCCTTCAAAGCCCACACCCCTTACCCTACACCCATCACATCCCTCCTACTCCACACCCATCACACCCACACCCCTTAGAGCCTCACATCCCATATCCCTCACATCCCATACCCTTCATACCACACCTCTCCTACCCCACATCCATCACCCCACACCCCTCACACCCATCACATCCTACACCCTGCATACCCCACACCCCTTATATCTCACACCCCTCATACCCCACACCCATCACACCCACACCCCTCACATCCCACCTCCTCACGCCCCTCACACCCCTCACACCCCACACCCCTTACACCCCATACCCCTCATATCCTACACCTCTCCTCATACCCCACACCCCTCACACCCATCACACCCATCACATCCATCACACCCTACACCCCCACACTCTCATACCCCACACCCATCACACCCATCACACCCATCACACCCATCACACCCTATACCCCCACACCCTCATACCTCACATCCCTCACACCCATCACACCCTACACCCTACACCCCCACACCCTCATACCCCACACCCCTCACACCCATCACACCCTATACCCCCACACCCTCATACCTCACACCCCTCACACCCATCACACCCATCATACCCTACACCCCCACACCCTCATACCCCACACCCCTCACATCCATCACACCCTACACCCCCATACCCTCATACCCCATACCCCTCACACCCATCACACCCTACACCCCTACACCCTCATACCCCATACCCATCACACCCATCACACCCTACACCCCCACACCCTCATACCCCACACCCATCACACCCATCACACCCTACACCCCCACACCCTCATACCCCATACCCCTCACACCCATCACACCCTACACCCCCATACCCTCATACCCCTCACACCCATCACACCCTACACCCCCACACCCCCATACCCCACACCCCTTACACCTCACACCCCACACCCCTCACATCCCTCATATTCCACACCCTTTACACCCTACACCCCTCATACCCCACACCCCTCATATTCCACACTTCTCTTACCCCACATCCATCCTACCATCAGCTTATACCGCACACCCCTCATACTGTCACATTCCAACCCCTCAGACCCTATACCCCTCCTACTCCACACCTCTCATACCTCATACCTTTCCAACCTCATGCCCCTCACACCCCACTCCCATCCTACCCCATATTCCTTGAAGCCCCCACAGCCCCCTGAGACTCCCACACTCCTCCTAAGGCCCAGTTCCTACTGCCCATCTGTCTGGATCCCTGGTGGCCAACCTCCTGGCCTTGGCCTTGGCCACCAGTTCTCAGACCAAGTCTTTGTCTGCATGGGCTCCTGGGTTCCTGTGATGGCCATGGCAGGCTAGTCCAGCCAGGAAGATCTCAGAGTAGAGGGGTGGCTGCCTGACCCCTGACCCTGAGTACACCTGAACCCAAGTGCTCTTGTTTGCAACACCCCCAACTCCACCTGCCCCTGTGTCCACAGGCTGGGCCACCTTCGCCGTGGGCCCAGGTCATGGTGTACAGCTGAGCTCTGGCCGCCTGCTGGTGCCTGCATATACCTACCGTGTGGATGGCCGTGAGTGCTTCGGGCACATCTGTCGTACCAGCCCCCATGCCTTCGCCTTCTTCAGTGATGACCATGGCCACACCTGGCACTGCAGTAGCCTCGTGCCCAACCTGCGCTCGGGCGAATGCCAGCTGGCGGCGCTGGGTGGAGGCCTGCTTTATTGCAATGCCCGCAGTCCTCTGGGCCATCGCCTGCAGGCCCTGAGTACCGATGAGGGCAGCACCTTTCTAGCCGGCCAGCTGGTGCCTAGCTTGCCTGAGACTGCCCGGGGATGCCAGGGTAGCATCCTAGGCTTCCCAGCCCCGTCCCCTGGCAGGAGTGCTCCTGATGAGCCAGAGTCCCCAGAAGATGAGGAAACTCCTGGTGGGGACCTCTCCTGGCTGCTGTATTCTCACCCCACGGGGCACAGGGCGCGTCTGCACATGGGCATTCGCCTGAGCCGCTCACCACCAGATCCCCGCAGCTGGACGAAGCCCTGGGTTATCTATGAGGGCCCAAGTGGCTACTCTGACCTGGCCTGCCTCGGGCCAGTCCCCAGAGGCACACTGGGCTTTGCCTGTCTGTTTGAGAGTGGGGCCAGAGCCTCCTATGAGGAGGTCTCCTTTTGTGAGTTCTCACTGCATGATGTCCTGGATAATGTGCCTCCTGGCCATGTGGACAAGGCAGCCGGGCACTGCTGGCCTTGCTGACAGCCCAGGGTGGGCAATGTCCGACAGGTGGGTCAGGACAGGGCCCTGGGTGTGATTGGCTTCCTTCCAGGGTGACCCAGGAGAGTACACAGGGATCGGGTAGGCACGTCTGACTCCCCATTCTGACTTGCTACGTCCACCCAAGGAGGGGCTCCTGCCCCAATCACTCCCAGGACCCCATGTCTTTCCACCCCAGCCAGACAGCCTCCAGACCCAGGCAAAGTCTGGGTGACTCACAGGAGGCTATACTGACCTGCGTAGGAGGGGGCTGGGGCCTGGCTGAGGTCAGAGGCCATAGGGTCAGGATCTGACCCAGGAAGGGAATGACAGGCAATGGCTAGGAGCTGGCCACTAGGGGGTCGTGAAGATCCTCCTGTCCAACCCTCACCCCAAACTTGAGCCTTACAGACACATGGACCTACACTGCACACTGACCCTCTGCAGGGTTAGGGTTAGCCCTGTCCTCCCCATGGCTGCCTGTTGGCTCCAGTGGGTACCATTTGTTTCTCTTAGGGTGTAGATTAAGGCAACTTGAGAAAGTCTGTGGAGCGACCAGTAATGAGGGCAAGGGGCTAAGCTGCCACCTGCAGTTCTGGCATCCCATATGAGCACCCATTTGAGTTCCAGCGGTTCCACTTCTGATCCAGCTCCCTGTTTATGGCCTGCGAAAGCAGTGGAGGATGGCCTATGTGCTGGGGCCCTTGCACCCCTATGGGAGATCTGAATGAAATTCCAGGTTCCTGCCTTCAGTCTGGCCCAGTCCTGCAATGATAGCCTTCTGAAGAGTGGACCAGTGAATGCAGAATCTTCCTCTATATGCCTTACCCTCTCTGTTGCCCTGAATTGCAAATGAAATAAACAAACTTTTTAAAAAGCAAAGGAAAAAAAAAGCCAGAAAACTGTGGAAAAGAATTAAAAGATGTTTCTGTCTGCATGGACACTCAGCAGGGGCAGCGTGAGCTTCCCACTTCTCCCCCACTGCATGAGCGTCTGACTAGGCGATGTCCACTCCTCTGGGTTGGCTCTGGATGCCTCCAGACAGGGGTGAGTGTTCATGGACATCAGGTTTTAGGCAAAGCAGGAAGAACCACTGTGTCCATCATCTCAAGGCCTAGTGACCCAGTGTGCTCTTTGTAACTGTGTCCCCAGCGGCCCTTGTGACCGAGTGTGTCCCTTATGACCACTTCCCCAGCGGCCCTTGTGACCCAATGTGTCCCTCATGACTGCGTACTCAGCAGATCTCATCTGATTTGCCTTAGATCAATACCCAGAATTTACGTCATGTGGCCAGGAGATGGGCCCCACTGCCATGTCCGACTAGCAGTGCCAGATGTTGGCATGCTCAGGTCCTCTCTGTTTCCCCTATCACTGTCCCCCTGTCCTGGTCCCTGTCCTCCATGCCCTGGTCACTGTTCCCCCATGGTCACTGTCTCCCTGTGGTCATTGTCCTGCCCTGGTCACTGCCCCCCTCAGCCTCCTGGTCTTGCTGCCCCCTCCCCTCTCCCAGGACTGGGCCCAGAGGGGATATGCTGAGGACTCCATTTCCCTCTCCACCACATCATGTCCCTGCTTGTGGTACCAGGCTGGCCCAAGGTGAGCCTGTGCTGTGGGCGACACAGATTGCTCCAGGGGCCTCCTGGCCCCACAGATGCCCCACAGAGCTGAGTTCACTCAACATTTAATGACCAGAGGCAGCGGTTCTGGTTCCAGGTCTCACCTCCCGCAGCCCCTTGGTGGCCAGCCTGGGCTATGACAGCCAGTCCCATTGGGTTCTGCCTGCAGACCCTGAACCCTTGCCTCCCAGCAGGAGCTCCACCACAGGGGCCTGTGACCCTCCCCTGCCCTCCCCTGGCACAGCCCAGGGGGCCTGGTGGAGGGCTGCTGGCCACAGACTCCGAGAGGCCCTTCAGTCTCCTGTTGACAAAGGACCCGGTTGGAGGCTCCTGTGGGGGTAAGGCTGTGTCCCCCGATGTCCTAGCCCAGCATGCCCATCATGGGGCTGCATAAGGCAGAGGCCACCCCCACTCTGGGCAGTAGGCAAATGGGGTTGTGCCAAGCTCAGCAGCAGTGGGCTAGGAGAGCTAGGCTTGAGTGGTCCCACCCATGGAGGTCCAAGTAGTCCCTGAGCCTTGGGAAGTAAGTCCTGTGAGGGCCACATTCAGGTGGTCAGGCACCAGCATGGGGCGGTCACCCTGTGTCAACAGCCCTCAGGAGGCCCCATGGCCTGGGCACTGGGTGGAGGCTCCATAGGATGCTGATGATAAGGACAGCTGATCAAAGGGGCCATGAACAGTGTCCGTCCTCGGGCCTCAGAGGCCGGGGGTCCCGTGGATGGTCAGCGGAGCCTCTGCGTCCAGGGACTGAGGCACCCAGCCCATCAGAGAAGACAATGGTGGCATACTCAGTCTGCTCAGGGACGCAGGCAGCTGGGGGTTCTGGCGTCTTCTCCCGCCACTGGAAGTCCAGCTCCCCATAGTCCATGGTGGGGCTGGGCAGGGCCAGGGGCTTGTCCTTCTGCAGGGAGAGGAAGCACCGGTCATCTCGGCGAGCTGTACCTCATAGCCAGCCTGGGAAGCGGTCTACACCCAGCCCACAGACCACCCCCTTGTTGGGACAAGGCTCTAGGATCTGGGGTCCCATTCCTGTGGGGCAGACAAGGGGCAGACACTCACTGGGGTCTGGTCCTGGCTTGTGGCTCCTTCAGCCTCTGCAGAGAGATACATGTGGTCAGGGAAGGCAGGGGGAAGGCAGGGCCTTTGGCTGCTCGGATGGGGCCGTGGCCCTGGGAGGCAGAGCACACAGCAGGTGCATAATCAGTACACAGGGCCTCCCAAGGCACCCTGCCCCACTGTCACCCGCGACTTCCCCAAGGGATAGCAGGTGGCCACAGGCGCAGCATCCAAGACATCTGGAGGCCTGGCCACGACAGGCCAACAGTGGCGGTCAGCAGAACACTCTGTTCCCACTCATGTTGTGACACAGAGCCTGGAGCAGCAGGAGCCCCATCAAGCGTCCCAGTCAGAGCTAATGCCCAGGAGCTGCCTGTGTGCTGCCTGGGGCAAGGTCCATAGACGACAACAGGCATGGACCCTGGGAGCAGTGGCTCTCGGAGTGTGAACTGCGTCTGCCTCCAGCACAGGAATGTTGATCATGACTGGAGTGTCTTAGGAAGCTGACCAGTACTGCCGAGGAGGCGCAGTGGTCAGGGTTGGGGGAGGAGCGGAGTGTAGTCAGGTTATTGAGGGGAGTGTGGTAGGGGGAGGAGCGGAGTGTAGTCAGGTTATTGAGGGGAGTGTGGTAGGGGGAGGAGGGGAGCAGTGTCCACAGGGCCCATAGGTGGTCAGAGTACATAGAAGATATGGCTGGGATCGCTCCGAATCCCAAGATGGTGGGGAGCTTGAGTCTGACTTCTTCTCATGAAGGAGCTTGGAGGCAGGAGCAGGTAGTGGGAGTGGGCAAGGCTTGGCTAAGCATTACCTTGGGCTGTTTTGGGGCATGTGGCCACCAGGACCCAGGCCAGTAGCAGCAGCAGCAGAACACCCACCAAGATACTGGGGACACCAATGACCAGGCCTTGGAGCTGAGCTGGTGGCCTGGGAGAGGGGCTGGGCTGTGCGGTGGATAGCTCCAGGGGTCTCTCTGAGGAGACAGAAAGGATCTGGTCAGGGATGGGCCCTCAGAAACTCCGCATACCCCACAGGTACCCCTTGCCATCTCTGGTTCCCCAGGGCCTGGATCACAGCCCGCACCCTGGGGCATCTCCTCAGTCCTGTCCTGCAGGTATCCGCCCCTGTCCCCCTGCCTCCAGCTTTGCCACGCCCATGTCAAGTGGACAGAGGTTTCTAAGGGGAGAGGACATCGGGGGGCAACCGAGCCCTGCCCCAACTCCCCTTCACCACGACCTCTCTGACCACCCCCTACACGGCAGCCTCTTTCTGTGCCTGCTATCTCCCTGTGCCACTACCCCCTCCCCTCCCATTGCCCCCTGCATGGTTGCCCAGCACCTGTCACTCTGAGCTCGGCCTGGGAGCTCTCCTTGATCTGTGTCCGGGGGTGCAGGGATATGGCCCCGCACAGGTAGATCCCACTGTCGTTGAGCCGGACACCAACCACACTCATGAGGTACCCATTGCCATTAGGCAGCCGGGTGATGCTGAAGCGGCCGTCCTGTGGTGGCTGGCTGCGGTCCTCGGGGAAGGCAGCCAGCTTGTGCCTCTGGTTGCTGGGGCTCAGACGATACAAATTCAGAACGAAGTGTTCGGATGTATTGGAGAAGCTGCAGGTAAAGGTGGCGTTGGCCCCTTCAGGCACCGTGGACTGAGCTGGGAAGAAGGTGAGGAGGTTCCAGGGCCTGTCCTGGGGGTCTGGAAGTGTGGAGAATAGCAGGTGAGATGGGAGCAGAGTAAGACTCTCCTGTACTGGTACCCCACTGCTTGGACAGTAAGATGGCTCCTGCTGTGGGCTCGCACAGGGCTCTGCCTGCCCCCACCCCGGTTGGCCTGAGCCTGGAGCCTGGGGTGACCCCATCCCCTTTCTCCCCCTGATATCTTCACTCCTCCCAGGTGATCCTTGATGTCGGCTTCCTGACAGGGCTGAGGGACACAACCCATACATGTCCTGGGAATGTGCCCAGCTCTGTCCAACCCAGGCCCTCAGCCTTCAGTGGTAGAACCAGGTACTGACTTGTAGAGGGGGTGGTGGAGAGGAACAATCCCATGAGGTCGGTGGTGGGTGGCTCCTGTCCATTATAGCAAGACTCCAGCTGGAGTCCATGAGATGAATCCCAGAGGCCATGGGGCTGGGGATAAGCACACATGGTCACGCCCCTCATCCATGGTCAGCCCTGCCACAGCAGGTGGGAATGGGACCCCCAGTGAGTCCACAATATCTACTGAGGAACCCCAAACCCAGCTCTCTGACAGCCACACAGATGCATTGAGACCCCCCCAACCAACCCCACCCAGCTCTCTAATGGCCACACAGCAGCACAGGCACCAACTTCCCCTCCCAGCTCTCTGACGGCCATAAATGGTTCCTGGTCTGGGGGTGGGAGCCAGGGTCATATCTGCTTCTGCTGGGCTGATCCCCCTGAGGAGGACCCCCTTCTGGTCAGCTCCCAGGAGGCAGGACCCATGGCCTCCAATTGATAGGCACACAGACTGTGGGGCGGAAGCTCCATCTGCTGTGTCCTTGCTGTGCCCAGAGTAGAGCCCTGGCCTCAAGTCCTCAGCTTCTATTGCCCCTACCAGGAGATGTTAGCAAATGGGAAACAATCTACACCTCCCATACCAGGAGTCTCCAACACTGTGTGAACCTTGAGATGTTCATCCAGGCTGTGACTGAGTGGCTGCTGACAGCTCCATTTGCTGCAGGCTCTTCACTGGCCCCACTGGCCCCCTTTTCATTGTTCTCTCTCACTGCTCCCTCTCTCAAAATCCCTCACTGTCCTTCACTGTCCCCTCTCAGTGTCTCTCACTATCCCTCATTGTCCCCTCTTTCACTATCTTTGTTCCTCTTTATGGCTGTGCACCTGCTGTTTTTGACTCCTTTCCTGTGACATCAGTACTGGCCCTGGCTCCCCACACATGTGACAACACGGGGGACCGAAGTTGCCACTGCTCTGAGTACCCACAAGTATGATAGTCTTGGAGGCGGATTGTGGTTCACCAAGCCCTGGTGGCTGAGAGGAGGAAGTGGCCACATGGGGCCCCTGGTTGTTGCTGTCAGGCTGGCCCAAGGCCCATCCTGTGTAGCAGGACTGAGTCCTTCCTATTCCCCATGGACACCCACCTGGGACAAAGGAAGCTCAGAGGCATCCCTGTCACAGCCTGCTCCTGTGTCCACTCTCATGTGCCCAGCTGGCCTGCTAGGATGGTCTCCCTTCTCTGAAGCCCTGGCTATGGTGGTGACTGCTCATGTCCAGTGCTGTTCCTGTACATGTGGCCGGGTGCTGCTCCCACACAGTCAGTGTAGCAGGACACCTTGAGGAGGAGGGGGCCCAACACGATGCCCATAGCCTCACAGAACCCAATTCTGCATGCCTGGTCTGCGTCCCACCCACTGAGCCCTCACTACAGGGCCACCTCCTGTGGCCAGGGCCTCCCCTCCCAGGGCTCTTGTTGTCTGCAGGTTTCCCCTGGGTGCTGCTGCCGTCCCCAAAATCCCCTTCATGGCTGTCCGCTGCTGGACCTGGAATGTGAACTGGGGCAGGCTCTGAGTCAGGCATGCCTGCCTCCTAAGGTCCCAGGTTTGGCTGAGTACTGGGTGGGAGGGAGGTATGCTCCTGGTGGGCGGTGGGAAGAAGCCCTGACCAGGACAAGGAAGGGTTGGGTGGATGTAACCTGGAGCAGCATTCTTGGCAGCCCTGGTAGCCTCTTTCTCCTCTGCTGGGGCTGGGGCAGGGGCTAGATGGGCAGCAGGAACAGGGTCGCCCTTGGTGTCTGCAGGGGCTCCACCATGTTGGACCTGATGAATCACCAGGAGGTGCCTACTTCAAGGGTCAGCCACACTGATGCTGTGTCCAGGGGTCCAGAGCTCTGTCCTTATGATGCTGTGTAACTAACAATGCGGGTGCCAGCCCATTCAACTTCCAAATGTAATGCCGGCATCCTTCATCAGAGCATGGTTCTAGTCCTGCTCCTCAGCTGCCAAGCGGGCTCCTTGCTTACGCATCTGGGGAAGCAGTGGAAAATGGAGCAAGTCCTGGGGAGGGTCTCCATGAGGGAGACCCGCAGGAAGCTGCTGGCTCCTGGCTTCGGTCTTACCTATTCTCAGCCACTGCGCTCATTTAGAGGAGTGAAGCAGCTAATGAATCTTTCACTGCCTCTCCTCTCTGCAAATGTGCCTTTCAAGTAAAAATAAACAAATAAATCCTTTTTTAAATATAAGAAGAGGTCACTGAGTAGGTAGGTATCGTTCCTGGCCTCCCCAGCTCAGAGTCCTGTCCTCTGCTCACTGTCACTCACCTAGTAGGCCAAGCACCAGGACTCTGGGCTCCAGGCCTGGTGGGGGTGGGTGTTGGGCTCCAGTGCAAGGAGCTCTGGCCATCACCCCCTCAGGGCAGCCCCTCATGGGGGCAGCAATTGAGGTGGGACAACCTGGTCCTCTTGTCCCCAGACAGGGCAAAGCAGCAGCTCCCTGACAGCCTGGCCCTGCCACTTCGCACTCTGCCCAGGGCACAACTGCAAGAATCTCAGCAGGTGCAGTGTCTCAGTCTTGGAGGCCCCACATTCTGGGAAAGAGAGGGGGCCTTCATCATGACACCATGAGCAGGAGAACAGGGCCCCCAGCGTGACGCCGTGAGGAGGAGGGGGCCCACCATGACGCCCTGACAAGGAGGAGGGGACCCAGCATGACACCACGGGGAGGGGTTCACGTAGGGAACAGCAGGTTACTCTAGGAGTGGGTGGGCCTCTGACACAGCCGTGAAGCTGCTGCTCTGGGTGCCCTTACCCCATGGGCCCTGAGTTCGAGCTCCAGCTCTTCCACTTGTGATTTCCGTTTCTTGCTCATATTCACTGAGAGGACTCAGTTTCTGCCACACTCAGCGGAGGCCTGGGTGGCACTCTGGCTCCTAGCTTTGCCTGGCCCAGACATGGCTGTTGTGGGGATTTGGGAGTGGGCCAGTGGATGGAAAATCTCTGTCTGCTTTTCAAATGAAAGAAATTGAAAAACAAAACTGTCACACTGGAGGATGATGACTTTAACCCAAACCCAGCATGATTGGAACTGATCTGGGGAGGGACCAACTTGTGGATTCTAGGACCTGGGGCTCAGTCTGGGGGGATGGGAACGACACCCACCTACCCAGTAAACCACCTGGTCTATGGTTACAGTGAACAGGCACCCAGAGCCAGCAGACCACCGTGGACAATTGGAGGCTCTAGAAGGATGCCATGACTGTGCCTTTAAGCGTCTCTATGTGGCCATTTTCAAAACTGCACAAGTCTGACTTTACCAGGCGTCACCTGGATGTGGTGGACAGTTTCAGATGATGTGGCAAGGTTTCCATCCCTGCCTGGCACGCCAACGTGCCTGCGCTGTGGGGGAGGGTGGTGGCCTGGGATCTCAGGAAGTCCGCTGCAGGGCCTGTGTCCTGTTGAGGACAGCAACGACCCGGACAGTGACGATGGAGAACAAACCAGGAAGGGGGATGTAGTCAGGGCAGGGAAATCGAGGCACCCAGAGGGAAAGCCACTTGCTGGCCGTGAGCAGGTGCAACCTGTTCTCCCTGGGATCTCCAAAACCCACATGTCTGGGCAAACCTGTTGACACCTCCAGCTCTCCTCCCTCCCTGAGCCCAGAGAGTAATGAGTCTTCCTCAGAGAGGAAGATCCAGGGCCCCGCTTAGCACATAAACCATGTCTTTGGTCCCTCCCATGCCAGAGACCACAGCAGATGATCCCTCCCATTCCAGGGATCACATCTCAGGTCCCTTCCGCTTCAGGGACCATGTATCGGTTCCACCCCCCAATCCCAGGGACCACATCACTGGTCTCTCCCTCCCATCCCAGGGACCACATTGGGGGTCCCTCCCATCCCAGAGCCCAAGGACCCCAGCTGGGGTTCCTCTCCAGTGTGTCCCAGCTGTCTCAGTCTCAGGAGCTCTGCCACGTACCTAGGAGCCATCCTGGCCTCCAGCTCAGCTGCAGCAAGGCCCAGAGCAGCGACCAGGGCACCCGCGGCACTCGCATGCCCCAGCGCCCGCTGTGCCTGGTCTCCTCGGCGCCCCGGCAGGAGTGGTGCTGAGAGGAAACAGTCCCAGGTCGGAGGAAGGGGACCTGCCCCAGGCCCCGCCCCCTCTTCCTCCACCTCCACAAGAGTGACAGGGCGTGGAGCACTGGGGTGGGGGAGAGGGGAGGGGAGGGAGAGGGGAAGAAGCAGAGGGGGTGTGCAGGAGGAGCCTTGGTCCTGGGGGAGGGGTGCAGCTCAGACCCCTCTGTGGGCGCTACAGGCTCTGCCTTTGCCTGTGGTCTCTGGCGTCTCCCATTGGAGCTGCTAAGGTCTGCGGATGGGGGGGTGCAGGTCCCCACTCTGCCCCCCCCACCCGGAGCTCGGTTCCCCAGTCTGCAGTGGGGGTGCGCACAATTCCACGCCCACTCTCAGCCCCCTGAAGCCGAGGGGCAGGTGCAGGTGGGCCCTTTCTTCAGCCAGCCCTGGGGTCCTACCCAGGAGTCAGACCCAGGGTGGGCAGGGGCCCCCGGAGGCACTTTGGCTGGGCTGCCCGGCACGGGCCTCCCCGTCCCCAACCCGGCTTCGAGACCTTTCCGCCGCCCAGCCCCCTCCCCCTGCGGCGGGCCGGCGTGGCCGGGCCGGCTCCCCGGGGAACAGGAAAACTGAAACTGCTGATACTGGTGACGCGGCCGCGAAGCGCGCTGGAAAGCGGCGGCGGCGGCGGCAGGCGGCGGAGCGGAGATGAAAGCGCGGTGGAAAAAGCAGCTCAGCGCGCGGGGGCGGCGGCCGGGCACCGGCGCCCCACGGCCTTGGCCCCGGGCGGGCCCCTCCTCAGCGTGCTCCGCACCGTGGGCGGCGGGGCCCAGCTGCCGGTGGCCTCGGGACAGCTGGACCCGCTCCTTCCCTGGGCGTCTTCTACAATGAAACCGCAGAGTGCTGACGCGTGAGAGCAACTTGTGATCCACTTGACGTCCAAGAGAGGCTCGGACCTGAAATGTGTCGCTGCATCCCCAACCCTGCTCCACAGATTTTGTTCTCCAGACCTAAGACCCTGACCCCTATACCCTGCTCTCCAGACCCCAGACTCTGCCCCCCTACCCTGCCCCCAGACCGTGTTCATTTTAAAAGCATGGAGCTAAGTCGAAGGACAGCCAAGTATTCCATACCTTCCTAAGGGAAGTGCCACTCAGACCAGGCTCTGGTTCCTTGCAAATGTGCCCACTGTCCACTCACACACTGCTCACACTCACTGCTCACAGTCAGTCCTCACACACACTGCTCACACTCACTGCTCACAGTCAGTCCTCACACACACTGCTCACACTCACATGGTCCTCACACACTGCCTGCTCATACACACTGTCCTCACACACACAGTCCTCACACACACTGCTCACAGTCATGGTCCACACACACTGTTCTCACACACACTGCTCACAGTCAGTCCTCACACACTGCCTGCTCACACACTGTCCTCACACAGACTGCTCACACTCAGAGTCCTCACATACACTGTTCTCACTCACATGGTCCTCACACACACTGTCCTCACAGACTGCTCACACACACAGTCCTCACACACACTGCTCACACTCAGAGTCCTCACACACACTGTTCTCACAGTCATGGTCCACACACACTGTTCTCACACACACTGCTCACAGTCAGTCCTCACACACTGCCTGCTCACACTCACGGTCCACACACACTGTTCTCGCTCACAGTCAGTCCTCACACACACAGTCCTCACACTCACATGGTCCTCACACACTGCCTGCTCACACACACTGTCCTCACACACACAGTCCTCACACACACTGCTCACACACAGTCCTCACACACACTGCTCACACTCACACAGTCCTCACACTCACACACAGTCCTCACACAGACTACTCATACTCATATGGTCCTCACACACACTGCTCATACTCATGATCTAAACACACAGTTTTCACACATACAGTGCTCACACAGACTGCTCACACTCACGGTCCTCACATACTGTTCTCACAGTCAGTCTTTACACACTGCCTGCTCACACACACGGTCTTCACAATGACTGTTCATACTCACACAGTCCTCACACATTGCCTGTTCACACTCACATGGGCCTCATACAGGTCCCGATCTGGGTGAGTTCCCATGCATTAAGGGCCACACAGCAAGATGTTGGGGCTCAGCCCCAGTGGGGCCCCTGCCTGGCCTGCATTCTCCATGCAGCGTCTCCTGGAGAGGCACAAGGTGGGCCTCATGCTGCACCTCTGGGTAGTGCCGGTTCGTGGCCACCAGGGTGTGAATGGCTGTTTGCCTGGGTTTCTGCCGGCTGAGCCTGGGCACTCTTATATTCAGCTCCACCATTGGGGCATAGGACAGGGCAGGATACTGGGGGGCTCTGACGGGGCAGCTTTGAGCTGGCATCGCACCCTCGGACCCTGGAAGTCCTCCTGGGGCATGGGAAGAGATGCTCAGTAACATGAGCTCCAGGTGTGGCCTGCAGACCTGACTGGGATACCAGGCTCCCGTGGGGAAGGTGGGAAGGGGGTCTTCCTTTGGTGGGGTGGGCAACTCAACCACGTCCTGTCCCTGTTACTGTGGCCAGGGCGGCAAACTGAGTCACAGCTGGCTCTGAGGTTGGGACAGGAAATGGTTAATAGCGCCTGCAAATAAAAACTTTCTGTTCTGTCTTGGTTTTGAAACATTTCCCAGAAGTAAAAGAAGAGAACGCCATTTCTCGGCCCAACTGGAGAGCCCGTTTCAGCAGACTAATGGGATATTCCCACAGTTCACTGCACACAGGAAGGAGTAACTCAGCTTGTCAAGTTAGGGCTCACAGGAGACTCGCCCCTACTGCTTTCTGGACTCTCTGGAGTAATCAGTTATTCCTGTTGTTTAAGATATTAAAAAACAGAGAGAAGGGAGAGAAAGCAGAGGTCTCTATCCTCTGGTTCACTCCTCAAGCAGCCAGGGCTTGGTGGAGAGGCAGCTGGGAGCTCCATGTGGGAGACAGAGTCCTGAGCCCTCAGTCAATTGGCACCAACTCAGTAAGCTGGTTGGAAGTGGAGCAGCAGGAACTTGAACTGTGATGCCACGAAAGCCAGCAGTGGCTTTACCAGCTGCAACCACCAGCCAGCCCCTGTGTGTATGTGGCATATACGTGCTTTGTATGTGATGTTGTGTTTCTGTGTACATAACTCTGGTGTAGTTATTTATATACATATATATCAGGTCATGCGAATCAAATGTGTGTGCTGATATTTGTTCCTTGTGTGTTTATGTGTTGTGTGTGGCGTGTGTGTGATATGCATAGGTAGTATTGTACAGTGTGTTTATATGTTGTGTGTGGCTAGCAGGTGTCAGGTGGTTCTGTAGCATCATTATGCGTGTACCTTTTCCTGAGTTCCCTCCCTGTCCAGAGTGATTCATTTGCCTTAACCAACAGGAGAATGAGAAAGCAGAGCGGCGCTCTCCCCAGCCTGCTGTGGTTCTGCGGTGATTGCAATCCCCCGAGGCACCTCAACCCCTGCCCCCCTTGGATCTTGGCCAGGAGTGCCACACCTTGGAGTTGGAGAAGGTCTAGAACAGAAGCAGAGGCTCTGTATGCAAAGCTGAGGAGGGTGGGATGCAGGGAGTTGAGGACAGCACAACTGCTGAGGGTGCCAGTGGCTTTGGAACATTATGGGGCAGGCAACCTTGGCAGACTATGCCAGGGTGAGCCCCCGAGTCCAGGCTGCTCCCTGTGAATGCAATGGTCAAGGCCCCTGCACCCCGCTGGGAGATCTGAATGAAGTCTCAGGCTCCTGACCCAGCCACTGTGGGTGCTTCAGAATGATACAGCAGATGGAAGCACCCACTCTCTCCCTCTTCACTTCTTTCCTGTATTTTATTTTTAAAAAAGATTTATTTATTTTTGTCATAAAGGCAGATTTACAGAGGAGAGACAGACAGATCTTCCATCCTCTGGTTTACTCCCTAAGTAGCTGCATCAGCCAGAGCTGAGCTGATGAGAAGCTAGGAACCAGGAGCTTCTTTTGGGATTCCCATGCAGATACATGGCATTAAGGCCTTGGGCCTTGCCCTGCTGCTTTCCCAGGGCACAAGCAGGGGGCTGGAAGGGAAGTGGAGTAGCCAGAGCATGAACCGGTGCCCATATGGGATCCTGACACTTGCAAGGGGAGAATTTAGTCATTTGGCCACCTCACTGAGACCGACCTCTTTCTTTTGTTAAAATAGAATTTAATTTATTTTCTTTTTAATTCTGTTACATAATTGAGAGGGATGCATACTCATGTGAGCCTCTGATAAGGGTATAGGGGTTGAGTGTGGACAAGGTGAGACACATGTCTCAGTTCTTTTTCTTGCTTTCTTTTTCTCCTGTGTCCACAAATGGGAAAGGAGAGGGACTGCTCCTTACTGTCACACTGCATCATCAGCCAGGCATGGGGGATGGTCATTTGATAAGCCTTAGGAGAGCCTGATGTGGGGAACAGTGTTCCAACGGTGTTACTTGAGTTTATCTCTGCCTTTCAAATAAGCAAAATAAAAACAAACCTACACATAAAAGCCCACAAGTGGTGGGTAGTTGGTGGCCAGGCAGGTGAACCAGAGTGTGGCTGACTGACCACGGCCAGCCATGGCAAAGGCTGAGGTGAGATTGCCTAGAACTGGGGGCAGGCGAAACCTAAGGGCCTGCAAGCCACAGCAACTGGTTCAGAGAGCCAGGGCCTAGAGGCTGTGTCCATGTGAGCAGGACAGCCCATTGCAGTGACCGGGAGATGGGAGCTGCCAGAGGCCACTGTGCTACAAGGCTGGGATTCCACAGTGAGTGTGTGTGTGTGTGTGCGCGTATGTGTATGTAGCATGTTTGTGTGTGGTATGCACATAACATGTTTGTGTATGCTGTGTAGCATGATTGTATGTAACATACATTCATGTTAGGTGTGATATATGTTGTGGTATGCATGTATTGCTTGGTTTGTGTGTGGTGTGTGTGGCATGTTGGCATGCAGCACGTTTGTGTGTATGGGTGAGATGTGGTGGAGGTCATGTGTGTATGTGTGTGGGTCTCCTGGGGGCTTCTGAAATGGCCCCTGGGAGGTTCCTTGTTTTCCCTGCCCTCCCACTGTCACCCTGAGCTTCCCTGAGCCAAGTGCCCATGCTGAGGGCTCCTGGGGCCACCTCTGCGCCCAGTGTCTGCTTTGTTGTGTTGAGTCATTCACTGACAGCCACGGACCTGTCGTGTGTCCACCTAGTGATCCTGGACATGCTTCTCTTGAGGACGAAGGAGCCAGGCAGGCACTCTGTTGCCTGAGATGGGGTCTGTGCTGAGCATCTGGGACTATGCACAGGGCTTGGCGCTGCGTCAGCCAAGGGAGGGGCAGATACAGCTATGGCGGGTTCTCTGCTGCAGGCATGATGTGGGGTGTGGGGGTGTGATGGGTGTGATGTGTGATGTGATGTGTGAATGGGATGCAATGTGGGGGTGTGATGTGTGATGGGTGTAATGTGGGGATGTGATGTGGGGGTGTGATGTGTGGGGTGTGATGTGTGATGGGTGTGATGTGTGATGGGTGTAATGTGGGGATGTGATGTGGGGGTGTGATGTGTGGGGTGTGATGTGTGATGGGTGTGATGTGTGATGGGTGTAATGTGGGGATGTGATGTGGGGGTGTGATGTGTGGGGTGTGATGTGTTATGGGTGTGATGTGGGGGTGTGATGTGTGATGTGATGTGTAGGGTGTGATGTGGGGTTTGATATGGGGAGTGTGATGTGGACATTTCCATGTGGGTGAGGTCCTGGCCCAGTGTAGGGGCCACGGTTCACTGCAGGACACAGCTCCACTGCCATGCAGGGCGGACAGCATCTACAAGTGGTGCATACACATCGCGTGATCTCCAACTGGGACAGCGACCTGCACACGCACACAGGTGTGCGGCCCCCGCAGATGGCGGGGAACGTGACCTCCGGTGCAGGGGTGCAGCGGCTTCATTGTATTTTTCCTTTCTGCCTCAGTCTGGAGCCAGCCTGTTGCCATGGAGACTGTGCTGTTGTTAAGGCCGCCGATTGGCCAGCACGGGACCGAGGCTTCCTGGGAGCGAGCGCCTGGAGCGCGGCCCTCAGCCCGCAGTGCGGAGCGCAGCATGGCCGCGGCCGGGACGGACGTGTGGGTGAGCACCTTCGCCCAGCTGATGAGTGAGCGGAAGCCCCGGGACGCCTGGGTCCTGCTCCCTCAGGAGAGCCTGGCCGCCGGGCCCCTGGATGGCAGCAGCTTCCAGTACCGGCTAAAGGGGCTTTCGAGGTGCGGCCAAGGGCGGTGGGGGGCCTACCGGGGAGGGGGCGGGGCCCCGCGGATGGGGGGCCCTCAGGTCGGTGGTTCTGCTGGTTGTTGGGGTTGGAGGCCTGTGGGTTGGGGGTCCCGGGGGTGGGCGGAGCCTATTCTTGTGCTCTTAGGCCAGGCCAGGGAGTGGGACTCCGACAGCTGGGGCATTTGCCGGACTGTGGGCAGGGACCACAGTGACTGACAGGGCTGCAGCTACTGAGACCCTGAAGAGATGACATCATGGTCAGTGGGGGGCGCGGGGACTACCTTGGCCTCAGCTGCTTCCCAATGCCTGTCACCATGGCGTCTGGGCAGGACACGGAATGCGCAAGTGTCAGCCTGAGGTCCAGCCCTGTGCTGCATGCAGGCCCCAGTGACCAGCCAGGCAAGCTGCTGGGCAGAGGGTAGGGGCAGGCTAAAAGCTCAGAGTCACCCAGGGAGCCTGGCATTGCTCATCATGATGACTGACAGCTGTCATCTGTGCAGCAGGGACCCAGGGGTGGAGGCTGCAACTAGGGGCAGCTTTAGCGCCCGTGGACACTTGGTTAGTCAGGTCCTGCTGGTGGCCCTGCCTGCCCCTGACCACATAACTCTGGTGGGTCTTTCACATGGTGGGTGATGGTGACCCTTCCTGGGCCCCACAGCCCAGTGTTGCCCTGGTCACCCAGCCACAACCCCAGTGCCTGTAGCTGTTGATCGCCCAGATCCCAGTCAAGTCAGGAGTTTGGTTCCACACCCACCCTGTGGTCCCTTCCTCTAGAGAACTCCCAGGGAGGGTCCCTTCACCTGTGACTGGGGTGGGGTGGGGAGTAGAGAGAGTTCCCATCCAGTGAGTGATTCAGCTCCCAAACGGCCAGGCTGAGCAAGAAGCCTGGAGCTCCATCTGGGTCTCCCACGTAGGTGCAGGGTCTCCTGTGGAGGGGGCCAGGTGGGAAGCAGAGGTAGGCATGGGACTTGGTCCTAGGGAAATTGTGATGGGACATGGGTATCCTGGGTCATGGCATAACCTGCTGGTTCACCAGGCCCACTCAATCCTAGAATCTGGGAGGAGGGGCCACCCCGGGCCTGGGAGCCGGGGGCCGGGATCTTGAGGTGTCTCTCAGCCAGGGCCCAGTGACGGGTTCTGGCTCATACTTCTACACACCCGGTGGGAGCTGGGAGCTGCAGGTGGCCCTCCTTGGTCAAGCATGGCAGCGAGGCCCGAGTTTGCTCCCCCTAACCTGGCTGTGGATCACAGGGGTGCCCAAGCCCTTGGGTAACCTGGCCCCGAGATGCTGGGCATAGCAGGGGCAGGAGACCATTACTGGTGCCCTGACAGAGTAGGGGCGGAGGGGAGGTCTGCGTTTGCATGAGAACACCCTCCGGACCTTATAGCTTCCCTCCTGCAGGCTCCAGTGCAGCCGCTGCCTGTGGGTGTGGCGCTCGGCCCATGTGCACATCCTCTTCCACCTGTGGTGGGATGCGGGCAGCCGCCAGGGCCTGGTGAAGATGCGAGTGTGGGGCCAGCGGTGCCGAATGTGCCCGCCGGGGCCCCCGGGGCCCCGCGGCGACTGCCAGGTGAGTCCACTCAACGTGTGGATCTTCCTAAGTAAGCTGGTGCTGCACATCTTGCGGCGCTGCTACGGAGATACCCTCAGTCACTGCCCCGAGGTGCGCTTCGGCGACCGCTGCGAGGCTTGCGAGCTGCAGCTCTGCTTCCTGCAGAAGGCGCCCGAGCTGGCCTGGGCGCCCCCAGCCAGGCCCAGGCACGCGCCTGGTTGCTGCGCCCACGAGCCCGGCTGCGCCACGGTGCCGCTGTTGGTGACCGACTTCGTGGAGGAGCCTCTGTCGCAGAGCGGCGACTTCCTGTTCGAGGGCGCCGGCGTGGTCACCCTGCCCTTCGCGCTCGCGGACGCGGACGCGGGCGGTGGCACCGGCACCCTGTGCCTCTTCGCCGAAGCTGGCGCGGTGCCCGAGGCTGGGGGCTTCCCCGTGGACGTTAGAGACCCGGTGCTCCGTGGCGAGGGCCTGCTGCTCAGCGACGTGGACGACACCTTCCAGATGCGCGGCTTCGTCTTCGGCGCCCGCGACCGCGCGCCCCGCGCTGTGAGCGTGGCCCGGGGCCGCGGCCCGCTGTCAGTCAGTGCGGGCCTGGCGCCGCCGCCGCCCGCCGTGTCCTACGTGGTGGGGCTGGCGGCAGACGGCGAGGGCGCGCTCAGCTTCCCCTGGGCCCTGCTGGGCGCGCTGGGCCGGGCCGGGGGCCCCGGCGCCGAGGGCTCCGTCACCTTCCCCTTCTGCTTCGCTGAGGGCGCGGACGACGGCCGTGGGCCGCTCCCGCCAGCCCCGGGGGCCGAGGAGGGCGCGCCCGCGCCGGTGCCCGTGAGCCGCGGCTCCATCACCGTCCCCTTCGCGGCGCTGGAGGCCGCGCGGCGCCTGAGCACCGAGCACCCGGCCGGCGGTGCCCAGGGCGGCGGCTTCGTGGGCTACAGCTACTGCCGGCGGCGCGCGCGGGCACGGGCGCACGAGGAGGACGAGCCGCGCGCCTGTGCCGCCCCACGCCGGCCGCGCGCTGAGCCCTCCGAGGACTTCTGGATCTGGGTGTCCATGACAGTCTGTATCTTCTGGCTCATGTGCATGTGCAGACTCAACTTCAGTATTTTCCAGCAGCCGGCCTGAACCCCGCACCGCAACCCCGGCCCTCGGTGGCTCCACGTGTCTGTTGAGTTTGTGCTCCTGTCCTGCGCACTTGTGTCCCTGGTGCTGTTCTCTGTGTGTGAAGTTCCAATAAAGCAGAACAAACCCACCGTGCACCCCGGGAGAACAGGGGCTGAGGTCCAGCGGAGGTCAGGCTGGTGGGCAGCAGGAGACCGATTCCCTGCTTGCTTCTGCAGTCTTGGCTGGGACTTCCCATAGGGTGGGTGGGTGAATCATATGGACCCCAGGATGCTGCTGCCCCATTCAAGAAAGGATAAAATCCTTGGGGAGACTGGATGGGAAGAGAGGGGCTCGGTGACCATCCAGTGCTGGTGACACTGCCCAGCAGGGGAGTGCCCTGGTCTGGGATGTGGGAGCCCCCAGGGATCAGCTGAGGGCCTATGAAGCCCCGCCCCTGGCCCAGGGTAGGGACCAGTGTGGGTCTCTGAAAACACCTCCAGAGGCTATCCCGCAAGGCAGTACTGGCTCGTGCAGGTGAGGGAGGGGATGCAGCAAGTGCCAGCCCGGGCCAAGCATACCCTGGATACCACTGCCCTCCCTCTGTGTCAGGGCCATGATATCCCAGTAAAGGACCTCAGGACCGTGGCCGGAGCGGGAGCACATTCAGTGCTCAAGGACTCTTGTCCTCGGCTGAAGTGAGGTCAAGGTTAGGCTGAGGGACCTGCCCCAGGCCACCAGCATTGCCCCTACTCTCCTGTGACCACCTGTCCAGGCTCTCAACAGTGGCCCTTGGTGGCGCTCCCAATGCCCACGTCAGGGCTGCAGCCGGACCACACCTCCACCTGGCCCCTCACTACTGAAGCTGTTCTGGCTGAGACTGCATTCTGGGCCCATTAGGCTGTCTGGGGGCCCTGCTTGGGGAGGCCCAGGACCCACTTCCCTGTTCCCTTGGGTGGTCCTAGATGCTGCTCAGCGTCTGGGTGGGAGCTTGGGATTCAGGTTGAACATCTTCTGTCACAGGGCTTGGGGCACCCATGGTGCAGGGTCATGCCATCACCCCAGGGGTCTCCAGGCCATCGGAGAAGGTGGGGGCCAGTCAGCACTCATCCCCACCATCAGAGTTCCCCCAGCTTCTCAGCCAGGTAGGTCACCTCAGGTCCTTGTTTTCTGACCTCCCCTGAACTGATTTCCTATGCCTGGATCCCTTAGTCAGCCTTAGGATCCCATGCAGCCCCAGCTAGCACTCTTCCATTGTGGCTGGTCCATTTCAGGGAAGCCCACCAGTGACCAGAGTCGGATCCCCATTAGGGCTCCTGGAGAGCGAGGAGAGCCCAGGCAGCTGCTGGTTAGGCAGATGCTGCTGTGTGGTCAGCTCTGCCAAGTTCCTCCAATGGAGGTCAGGGCTGAGGGGTTCCTGGAAGGGCCCTGGTTTCCTGGGCCACTGAAAGGGTGTGGGGGCTGGGCCTCGGTGTCCAGCTTTCTGTCATGGCCCAGACCATGGGCACAATGATCGCGGCTTGTGCAGCCGTTTCTGTAACCGCTTGGAGCAGCCTAGGGGCTGCCCTGAGGGGCTCCGTGTACCCCAAGGTACCATAGGGAGGGGCACAGCTGAGCTTGTCCCCGCATTCCGCCTGTGGGATGCAGGGATCACCAGAAAAGCTGAGGCAGGCCCAGGAGGGCACAGGCAGCGCGGGGACCCCGACCTAGGGGAGCAAGGGGCTGGTCATGTAGGGCCCCCCTTCTGCCGGCTTGGGAGTCCTGGTCGGTGAGCGGCGGAGCAAGGTGGGGGATCAGTCGTCACTCCCGGGGCGCGGCCCGCCTCCCTGCGCGCGGCGCGGGTGCCCCCGTGTGGGAGCCTTCGGAATCACGCCTCCAGTGGCTCCCTGGTTCCCGCATCTGAGCACGCCGACTAGGTGTGTCCACGCGTGCGGCCGCGAGAAACGGCCCTGCGCTCACCCTGCCTCTCCAGTGTGAGGCTGAGCTCAGCCTGCAGTGACCGCAGACCAGCTGGCAGGACTCCGACGAGGCCACGGGTGCCGGTTCCCAGGCCCGTCCCCTGTTGTGAGTGCCTGGGGTCTTTAAGATACTAGTGGGGCTACATAGCGATGCCTGCCCTTGACACTGGGCTCTCTGCTGACACTTGCCTGGACAGGCCCTGGCTGGAAATACGTCTCTTGAATCCCTGGTCTTCACGTGGCTTCCTCAGGGGTACCCTCTCCACCTCCCCACCCCTGTGTTCTCTGTGTGGCATGGCCAGAGTCAGGCCTTGTGGCCCTCTGTGCAGTCCCAATCTGCATGTCCTCTGTCCCACATGAGAACACTGAGCATGTATGTGAGGATGGCCAGCCCTGGCTATCCCGGTCTGTGTCACGGCCCTGGCTCTCCACACAAAGTGGGAGGCACGAGTTCCTGGACTCAGGGTCACATTCGATCACAGCTGTGTCCAGGGGTACTGCTGGTGCTCAGGAAGATGTCTCAGTGGGCATGACAGTTCTGGAAGATTCAGGGTAGACCCTGACCACCATTCTCAAGGTCCAGGGTGTCTCTGGTCATGACGTCCAGGGTGCCTTGCCAGAGGGGTGACTCAGCACCCTGAGTGCTCCTCCTGAGCTATTCTTAGGGCTGCTAATCCCTCCTTACTCAGTGTCTCCATCCAGGACTGCCCGGAGGTGGTGCATGGCCAAGGAGGTGGACCTGGGAGCTACATGTTGGTTGGGCTGGGCAGGGCCCTGGCTGAGGTAGGCAGGGCCTGGTCTGGTCTGGTCTGGGCTGGGCTGGGCTGAGCTGGACTGGACTGGGACCTTGCAGGGTGTGGCAGGGTGGCCCCTATTCCTCTGGCCTCCTTTCTGCTGGCTGTAATGCTCTGGCTGCCCAGCTGGTTCACACAGTTCTCTGGTTAGCTCCACAGATGCCCCTGGGGACGGCACCGGCATCTGTGGCCTCTGTGTGGGGCCCAGAGTGCCTGGCCAAGGTTAGGGCCAGCCGGTCACAAGGTGGAAGCAAAGCTAGCCAAGCCAGGAAGCATTTGGGGGAGAGGGCAACCTGGCTTTGAGGGTGTTTGCTGTGCAGGTAGCCACCCCTTGCTGGGCATTCCAGGCACCACGCTCCTCTCCCACCATCTCCTACTTGTATGGTCACATCGGGGTCACTTGGGTATCTGGGGTGGGTTCCAACTGGGAAATGCCAGTCTTTAACACAAGCATTTGTGACCTCCGGGGAGGGGTGGCGGGGGTGTCAATTTTCTGGGAGGTTCGGGGTGCCCCATGAGGTGTCGGCACAGAGCTCCAACTGGTCTGAGGGGCTAATGAGGCTGAGCTCATGTCCCGATTCAGAGAAAAGGGAAGTGAAATTGCATTTAAATCTGCAGATACAGGGGCTGGCAGGGCATAGTGGGTTAAGCCATAGTCTGCAACTCCTTGAACCCATAAGCTTCCAGTCCCAGCTACTCCCCACTTCCCATGCAGCTCCCTGCTAATGCACCTGGGAAAGCAGCAGAGATGGCCCAGGTGCTCTGGTGCCTGCTCCCACATTGGAGATCTGGATGGAGCTCTTGGCTCCTGACTACAGCCTGGCCAGCTCCAGTTGTGGTGGTCACTTGGGGAGTAAATGAGAGGTGTAAGATCTCTCTCCATCTCAGTCTCTGTCTGGCCCTCCCCACTCCGACCCTCTCCCTTATTTGGAAGTAGAAAGTTAGAAGGAGTGGCTGAGGCTGACTGTGGTGAGGTTTACTGTGTTCCCTGCAGAGGACAGAAAAAGAGCAGCCACAGTAGGGACCAGGGGTGGGGGTGGGGTGCAGGTTTTATTGTGCCAAAGAGGGGGGGCCTGGCCTAGTCAGCAACTCCCCAGGCCACTAACCCACCGGGTCTCAGGTGGCTGCCTTGTCTGGGGCATTTTCTGGCACGATGGATGGCAGGAACAGCGTGGGTGTCTCCTGGGGGCACTGCAGCATCCGGTTCCTGCTCTCCAGCCGCTGAGTCCACTCCAGACGGAGCCTGTGGGACAGAGATGACCTGGAGGTCAGGCTGAGCACCAGCACTGACACCCAAGTAGTGGTGTCCTGGGTCTCAGCACCCATTCCTGCACTGTGGGTAACCAACTCAGCTGCAGCAAGCAGATGACCACATGACTGGACACAGTACCCCCTCATGGCCATGCCAACAGCAGAATCTGGGGTGATCTGCTGGTTCCATGCTGACCTGTAGAATGCTGGGGAGTGGGTGTCCCTGCCTGCTCCTGTCCAGGGGACCTTGTACTGCACTGGGGACATCACGGGGCACAGAGTGTAGCTGGTTGGGGCTGGTGTAGCCATTGTGGCTGAGGGATGTCTGTGCCTATGCATGCTTCCAGGCCAGCAGCTGCTGCTTCACAGGACACCCAGGCTGGGCACTGCCCAGTCTGAGGACTCTGGATATTTGGAAGTCAGGCTCTGTGAGGTTGCAGGTGTAAGGGTGAGGGTGCAGGTGTGGTTGAAGTTCTAGGTGTGAAGACACAGGTATGGGAGTTGCCCTCTTGTCAAGGAGGGCTCTTGTTCCCGCTCTCCCGGCTGGGGAAATGGCCCTGCCTCACTCACTTGCTCAGGGCACTGCCGCGGACCCGCAGATCCTCGCGCTGCAGCTGCTGCTCATGACGCTCGATCTGCTCCTCCCAGAACCTCTTTATCCTCCCTGCATCATGCAGCCGTGCGTGGGAGTACTCTGAGAAATAGCCTTTTCTCATTTCTGGAGAAAGATAAACTTGTGAGAATTCTGCCATTCTGGTTCATTTCTGGTTCATTTCTGGTGGACACATGAATCATTGCACTGACCCTGTGGGCCCAGCTCAACCCAGAGTGCACACTGTGGGGTAGATGTCCTGTGTCCTGGCCCTGTGGGGTGACCATGGGGGTTGCACTGTCCCCCACGAGCTGTCACTGGCTTGAGGCCTACTCCTGTTTTTCAGAAAGGTTTCTGGCTCAATGGAAGCAGAAGCTGCTGGCACACCTCTGTATGGGGCTCTGCTCTCCATGCATATCCGAGTGCTCA